AAGAAAGGAAGGAGAGAAGAGAAGGAGAAAGGAAGAAAAGGAAAAGAAAAGAAAAAAAGGAAAGATAGAAAAGCAAAGCAAAGAAAAGAGAAAGAAAATTTAGTCAAGGCAATAGACTATCCATTTGGAAAAAAATATAACAAAGATGACTACTGTACACTATCATGATGGGACTAATACCTAATCGTAAAAATACAGTAAGTATTTGAAGAATGAACTGAATATTTTTATAATCTTGAATTAATGAAGACTCATAAGCAAACTAAAGCTTATGAGATGTGGTTGACATGTTTAAGTATAAAAATCTTACAACTAACCAGGTGGTGGCGAAAATGAGTAATCCCAGCACTCAGAGGACAAGGCAGAAGGATCTCTGTGAGTTCAAGGCCGGCCTGAACTACACAGTGAGACCCCATTTCAAAAAGAGAAACATATAAACCAACAAAAAATATTAAAATTTCTCTAATGAAATTGATAAAGAGAACTTCTATAGTCTGAATCCTACAAAATGTTAAGGAAATATAGAATAACTGCTGTCTTTTGCTTCTGCAATTTGCTTTGCTTTGCTTGTCTCTTAGGACGATACCAGAGGTTTCATTATTAACTACAAAGCTTGAAGGCACGTATCCCCAATTTAAAATGTTATAAGATTAACAGATGCGAGAGGTGCTTAGCCGAATCCCCAGGGTGAGACCAGATGTTCAAGCTAAGATAATAATCACCATACCTTACAAGCAAAGTACACTTAGACCCTAAACCCTAAGCTTTCCGTAATCATATGACTATAAAAGAGTTAAGATAAAAGGAATGTCACCAGTCCTGCTTTCCTAACCCTGACCCCAACTCTTGTGGGCCAGAATAGCTAACTAGGTGAATCCTAAGGATAAACATCCTAACCACAAAGAAGATGCTACATTTGGGTTAAAATTAAACTGTCTTGTAACCATGATTGTATATCTGTGATGGGAACTGAGAGAATTGGAATGTCCTAAACTACCTAAAATGAAGTCATGAATGTAAAACTCCTATAAAAGACAGATTGTAACCCAGGGACAGTCATATGGCACAGCCCTTGGTGCAGGCCGACCTTTCGGTAGCAAAGTAAATGTTCTTGTTCTACTCACTTTTGCGTCTCTGGGTGTCTTACCAATTCCTTCTGCAACAAAATGTAACAAAGGCAAAGACGGACTTATTCTTTGGGGGAACTGACAAATATCTACACCATAAAAAGAGCTGCCACATGTCCTCTAAAGAAATGACAACCTTTCATAAACTGAAGTAGACTATGTGAAAATGAAATTCAGAAAAATAAATGCAAATGCCCTCTCCATATATGGAGAGCTACTAAACCTCACCAGGAAGGAAATGCAAATGGAAAACAATGAGATGCTATTTTTGTTCATCATAATAAGCAAAAAGGTAAAACACTGATAACATAGTTGAGGTGGAAAGTATAAGAGAAGTGGCATTTGTAAGTCTTGATAACTAGAGAAAGTAAAAATTAGTTCAGCTTCTTAGGAGGGATCGTAAGTAACACTTATCAAAATGTCAATGCTTTTATCTTTGGGTTCTGAAATTACATTACTAACAATCTCTCCTACAAATATATTCACTCTTACGCACCATGGTATATTTACAAAGATGTTCAGAATAACGAAAACTAGAAACAATCTAAACATCCATTACAGCATACAAGCTTAAATAAACTATGATATATTCATAGTATAGCTTCCTCTGCAGCTATTTTAAAAAGAAGGCAGTCAATAAAATAATATGTACATTCACAGGGGAAAAGTCTCAGGACACAGCTAATGAAAAATAAGCAAATTTCTGAACATACACTTGTATTTACGTAGAGCAGGCATACACATCTATATATTAGCTACTATATATAACTGCAAAAAATCAGGCTTTTAAGAACATATACAAATCAACAGTGGCTCTCAGAGGAAAGAGGGATAGAGAGGAAGTTTGGAATAATATAAAAATGTAATTTCTTCAATTTAAGCAAGAGGAACACAATCAGACTATTTCTCTAGGGAAAACAATATTTTGGCTGCAGTATGGTAAATAACTCAAGGGTGAGGTAGGATGCAACTTTACTAAGATGACATGACCTGGACTAAGGCAGTGGCACTGGGATGAAGAGGAAAGATACAATGTGAAATCATATCAGGAGGTAAGATCAACACAATGTGACTAATTAGTTTTCTCAGCAGAGGATGGAGAATGAATTCTGGCTTTTGTTTTGGAAATCCAGGGAGATCATAATATGATCAAAGGCAGAAAATAGTCCTAGAAAAACAGGGCAGAGTAAGGCAATATGATTACTGTTTTAAGCATGCTAACTCTGAGGCATCAGTGGGATGTACAAATAACAGTTTTAATTCAACCACTGAATATATGAAGCTGAAGGTATGAAAATGGTAATACAAATAAAATGACCCAGGCTACAGCAGTAGACAAAATGCCACCACTTCCCTTTCCTACTTCCATGGAAGACACGGCTAATAGAACCTAGGCAGGGCTCCAAGTACCTTGGATAAAAATCCATTTCCCATCCCTGACCTAGGGAATTCATGCAGAAAGACAAGAAAGGTAAAGACAGAACCTTATGGCACTTCAGTATTGAAGAGCATTCCAAATAAGAGAATCCAGCAAACAAAATGAGAAAATGGTTACAGAAAGAGGAAAAGATATATGCAAATATACAGAGACAATTACACAGGCCTGTCCTCTCTCACAAGACTAGCACAGCCCATTTGGGAAACTCCCTTTCACAAATATGAGACATGTGGGCATATAATTGATTGGCTAAAATGGAACACAACATCATACAAAAGGGGCACTAGTAATAAACCTATCGAGACAGTGGTGGGGCCAGGGATTTAGCTCAGTGGTTCCACCACCTGCCTCTTAAGCGCAAGGTCCTGAGTTCGAACTCTGGTACCAAAAAAAAAAACAAAAAACAAACAAAAACAATGGTGTAAGCTTAAGGGATACACAGAGGAACCCTACTGTTGGACCAATACACAGAAGTAATGTGAAATGACATGGCTGATTACAACAACACATGAGGGATTTGAAGCTTATCTATCCTTTCTAATCATCTTTGCCACAATCCTTGCCCTCCCGTCTATTTGTCCAGTGTTGCTGGTTATACAAAGATAACTGTTGGCTTAAAACAACTGTTAGCAGTTGTTAGTTAGAGCAGGCCAAGACTAACTGTCCAGATACACAGCAAGGTCTCTATGGTGGACTTCTATTGCACATACTGAGCTATATTCAGAATGACACTAAGTTTCCTCTATTCCATAGTCACTAAACTGATGAGTCAAATTATATTTTCATTTTCAGACAGACTCCAAATAACAATGTTCCTCAATGTTGTGCCACTGTGGTACCTGATCACTGTCAGGATTACCTCACATAAATTATCTCAAATACTTATATTCTCTGCACTGATCAATATCTTTTGTTCCTTTGCCTTTTCTGCTCTCTCCTAGTAAATGCATCTTTTCCCACTTCATTAACTCTGCTCTCAGGGTTCCTTATTTACTGCTCTAGGTTCACCCTCCTCACGCCAGTGTAGTCATTCTCCAGCAGCAAATATTTACTGAGGGTTTACTCTCCGTTGGCTGTTCTGCTACATGGAGAAGATACAAAAATGACAACACAGAAATTGAACTTAAGGAACAGACAATTTCATAGGGACAAATGCATATGGAAATCACTGCAAAACAATATAGGTGGCGCTCAATATAGCTACGTATAAATTACAGGGATAGCAAAGGATAAATACACTTCCTCGAAGTATCAGGGACCAGTCTTATAGGATGATGAATGGAATGAAATGAACCAGATGGAACCAAGAGGAGGAATATGGCTGGAGATAAGAAAATTAAAAAACAGTTCAGAAATGCACAGGAGCCCCAAAATGAAATGGGCAAATGCCTTAAAGAACTGCTAATAATTCAGAAAGGCCAGAGTGTAGGCCATAGGAAAAAGGAGTCCATGATGAACCAGAGAAGTAGGCAGGGCCCAGTCATAGCAGGCTGTCCATGCCATATAAATGTGAAGGGGACTCATTAAATTCTTGTAGGAAAATGGGCAAGGGGCTCATACTTGTGCTTTACAAAGATTTCCTGGAAAGCAGGGCTCAAATGGACTGGACAGAAATGAAAATGGACGCAGAGAACAATTTGAGGTAACCATTGATCAACATAGATGATGATGTCATGGCTTATGGTGGAGACAGGAAGGAGGCAGATTCTAGCCAAACATAGGGAAATGGACTCAAAGCAGAGTGAACACTTGGATATTAAATGTTCATGAAAAAAATGAATCTTTTTTTTTTCTTTTCGGTACTGGGGATCGAACTTGGGTCTTTGTGCTTGCAAGGCAGGTGGTTGGACCACTGAGCTAATCCCTGGCCCTAAAAAAAAAAAATGAATCTTAAAAAGCTTAAATTTTCAGACTGAGGAACTCGGTGGGTACCACGAACTGAGATAAAGCACTGAGGAAGAGCACAAGAAAGAAGAGCTAGAAGGAGGAGATGAGACAAGAGTCCAGTTACCGCTGAGTCTTATGGACAGTCTCATGATAACACCCAGCTGGTATGTAATTCAGACGCTAAGGAGAATGATCTTGATGGTATAGACAATTTTAGAATTATCCAGTAATTAAAACTAATGGATGACTGCTTGGGGGGCAACACACAGAGCATGAAAAGAAGAGTCTAAAACAAAATCCTAGAGAACAATTCCTAGAGTTCAAGGAAGAGAAAGAGGAGTAAGTAAGTCAGACCGAGATATGAGGGAAGTGTGAGGAGGAGCAGAAAAGGTGGTGTCGTGGCCCCGGAAAGGAGGTGAAGCTCCAAGAGGGAGGCGTGGCAGTGGGGCAGCCTTACCTCGGATTCTTCTTGTAGCCGCAGACAGCTGTCCAAAAACAAAAGTGATCGGTCTACAGACTTTCTTGCTCTTTTTACGGAAGTTCCTCCCTCACAAGATGCCTCTCCATCTGAGAGGCACTGGAACCAGTCTGGCTGCAGGGCCTGCTGAATTGCCATGAACTTGGAAACGGTCATTTCTACTCTTCCTCCACCACCCCACACGGACACGGACTGCCATGGAACAAAACAGTGAGGAATTAGCAAGAGTAAACACAAATCAAAAGAAGTAAAAAAATGATGAAGCATAATTCTTTATAACTGGAGAGATGTTCATTCCCTATCCTGGACATGAAGGGTAAAGAATTATACTACATTTTGGCTTTTTCTTTGCAGTGCCTGGGATGGAACTCAAGCCTCATTTATGCTAAACATACTTTCACCAAGGAGTTTTGCCTTTTTTACATTAGACAGGATCTCGCTGAATAATCCAGACTGGCCTCAAACTTAGGATCCTTCTGCCTCAGCCTCCTGAGCAGCTGAGATGACAGGTGAGTGCTACTGTGCTGTTACCTGCTGGCTTTGAATATTTAATTGTGATAATAACAACAACAACAAAAAATCCACACTACAAAATGTACCATATGGAGCAGTTTGAACACAATGCATTTTAGGATTTTGGGTACAAAAAAGAAAATGAAACAGATGTCTTCTTGTTAGCCTCGGGTGTATTTAAAACATTTTGCCAGTGTTTAATAACCTTAATTTGACAGTTGAGGGAGAAGTACTAATTTAAATAACACCTGTGATATGATAAAGGTTGGGTGTGGTGGCTACACCTGTAATCCCAGCCACTGGGGAGGCTGAGGCTGGAGGATTCCAAGTTCAAGCTCCCTGGGCGGGGGGAACAATTTAGCAAGACACTGTCTTTAAAAAAAAAAAAA